GTCGGCAAGAATACCCTTTCTATGATTCCTAATAAGATTGCACAGTTTTTGAAACTAGAACATCCTGAAACATATACAGGCCATTCATTCCGAAGAATATTGGCAACGATACTGGCTAATATGTATTAACAATCAAGAGACATGGTAGGTAGAAATGAGTCACAATTGCAGAAAGTTATGTTGCTGACAGTTTAAGTAATAAAAATGAAATAGCCGACAGGATTCTTTACAATGCCACTTCAACTCCAGGTTCTAGTAGTACGTCGCATCATACTGATTTAATGGATCAGTCAGATAATATTGAGCCTCCGGGGACTGAAATGGAGCGGTCAAATCATTTTGAGAAAAATGTGATAATTAGTAAAAGCGAGGGGAATACCTAATTATCCAGATTTTATAAATTACTAAATGTAATAACTGTACAATTACTATAAATATTCATAATAATTAATAAAATGTAATGCTCATCAAATATTTCTATTTATTTGTTCATAAAATATGCATTTATAACTCGAAATCGCTTTTTTCCCTAGGGAGGTAAGTTACCTCCCGTTGTCCATGTCAACTTCCCCTTCTACGGTAAAATCCACTTACCTCCTTAAAAACAATGTATTAATAGTCTATTTACTATAGTGGGAGCAGATAAATATGTTTACTGCAAATAGAAACATCCTAGCTGTAAATACATATAATTGAAAGATATTTTCTCTGTAAAAATATATTTATATCCAAAAAAATCTGTCTAATAATCCCACTGGAAGCTAACTTTTCCAGTGTCTCCAGTGTCATAAGTTTAAGTTAGAAGTTTCAAAATTAGATGAAATTTATTTGATTAGGGCTGCGAATGGTGCGATTTTCGAAGAATATGCTCCACTTAACTTCGAAATGTCTTTAGAATATCAATTCGGTAATTCATTAGATATCATAGAAGTATAAAATCAGATTACGTTTACTCTAGGGTGTGCTTGAAAAATAACTGTAATCTTGGTTTCTCGCCCCATGTAACATCGACGTGGAGAAGATGCAAAATTTCGGCTTGATGATTTATTTATCGTCCTACTTAAATTGGCTGATTGTTTTGTTATTACACTATTTGCAATTTATTAAAAAAAGTTAGAAAACCAAGTTAGAGCTAACATATAAATTAGTTCCTGAACTGTATACCAGTTATACAACGGTTGTGCCATAAGTTTATAAGTGAGAACTTTAATACTCATACATAAAAGGGTTTTGTATTATCTTCCTACTTATAAGTTAGAAAACCAATATTGTGGCTAATGTTTGCCATCTAATTATTATATTTCGACCCTGGAAATTCTGTAGATATACAAAAGTATAAAATAATGTATTGATCAAAATGAACATACCATATTTTTAGATTGTGTTTAATTTATAACAAAATTTTATATTTTGTTACTTGAACGCTCAATGTTATAGAAAATGATAATGTCTGTTTGAAGCTACAAACGCGTTTTAAAGTATAGATTGTAAGAAAAGTTCATGAGAAGTTGAAGAAGGCTTCTTGTTAGCCAAAAAAAAACTTACGTTAGATATTTGAATTTAGCTTAAGAAAAGTAGATTAAAGGAGCCCTACAATATAACTATAAAACAATAAAAAGGTTGTAAAAATAGTAAAAGTTCTAAAAATTTTTTAAAATATACTCATTTTTCTTCTTTTTCTGCAGGTACTTGATTAGGATATCTTTTTAAATCGATTACAAAATAATTATTGGTTCATGAAGGCCTATTTCAAATTTAAATCGTGATGGTAAAGTGTTTGGATATCTACAGGAAATATGTAGCACCTTGAAACGCTTTATTTATATATTAGTGGTTCACTGAACTTAATAAAGGAAACCTGTATATTATTGTTGTCAATTAAGGCACGACGATACAAATAATAACATAAAAAAATATGTATATATAGAAGGAATCGGCTAGGAAAAGTCAGTTATCAAGTGTTAATCATTTCTAACAACTCAAAATGGCAGCTAAATTCGGTTTAACCATCTTCGTGGTCTTGGTCGCCACCCAGGTATGACAAAAATTGCAATAATTATAATTTACTGTATGTTCTAAGATCATTAAATACAGAATCAATTTCGGGTAGTACGAAATACCCATAGGGTATTCTGGTGAATTTAAAAATGATAAAAATCAATTATTATTAAAAAGAAATTAATTGAAAAAATTAAATAGTAGCAACTATTGCTAAAACTAGCAATATTCATTCAATGATAAACAAAAATATAAAACGACGTTTGGAAAAGAAATATACACATACTAATTATAAAAAAAACACTGCTTAAAGTAAATTTCCAAAAATCTCCTGCCTAGTACCTAGTTAGTTAAATATTAGAATTATTGAAATAGAAGATTTGCTATTAATTCAAAATATGCAAGTAGTGATTTGAAAATTTTTAAGTTAATCTACATACTTCTTGGAAGTCAATCTTTGAATTTCTTTAACATGTTTCTGTATAACTTATCGTAAAATTCTATGAGTATTATAAAATATGTAGATAGTACGAGATAATTTTTCGTTTTTCAAAATCAAATCAACACTCAAAAATGTTCTTTATTGAAACATTGATTTTCTTAAAAAGAAAAGAAAAAATCGATTTGAGTACAGTTGATGTTTCCCAAGTTACTTAAGAATCAATTCACTGACATTGTTGGTTGACCTATTTACATATTCATCAATTTTTTATTGAACAAACTAAATAAAGTTTACTTTTCTAAATTTGTGAATTTGTGTTAACATTTAATTGCTCCAGGTTCTATTATTATTATTATTTCTTATCCACTACAAGTTACAGAGAATTCAATATATCCGTGTCGCTATCGTTTAAGTATTATTTTTTACTATTTTGAAAACTCAGAAACGTTGACGAAGAATTCAAAACTCGTGTTTCTGTTTTAAATTAATTCCTATAATTCTTATCTTACTAAATTCTGCTACTAATCCCTATCTTTGAGAAAAGAAATCAACGTTTTGAAAATTTCAGGTCTTCCCCTCATCCGGATCATGTATCTACCCACCACCACCATGCTCTCTTCCAGCACCATGCGCACCCGGTGGATACGTTAGTGGACCCGCCCATGGACCTGTATACCTTCCAGGACCCTCACCTGTATACGTCGGATCTGCTGGAGCTTCAGCTGCCGGATCCGTATATTACCCAGGACCTGCCCCATCCCCTGACTGTTCCGTGCCCCCAGTATACCTTCCACCACCCAAATTCCCCAAATGTAGCACCTTGAAACGCTTTATTTATATATTAGTGGTTCACTGAACTTAATAAAGGAAACCTGTATATTATTGTTGTCAATTAAGGCACGACGATACAGATAATAACAAAAAAAATATGTATATATAGAAGGAATCGGCTAGGAAAAGTCAGTTATCAAGTGTTAATCATTTCTAACAACTCAAAATGGCAGCTAAATTCGGTTTAACCATCTTCGTGGTCTTGGTCGCCACCCAGGTATGACAAAAATTGCAATAATTATAATTTACTGTATGTTCTAAGATCATTAAATACAGAATCAATTTCGGGTAGTACGAAATACCCATAGGGTATTCTGGTGAATTTAAAAATGATAAAAATCAATTATTATTAAAAAGAAATTAATTGAAAAAATTAAATAGTAGCAACTATTGCTAAAACTAGCAATATTCATTCAATGATAAACAAAAATATAAAACGACGTTTGGAAAAGAAATATACACATACTAATTATAAAAAAAACACTGCTTAAAGTAAATTTCCAAAAATCTCCTGCCTAGTACCTAGTTAGTTAAATATTAGAATTATTGAAATAGAAGATTTGCTATTAATTCAAAATATGCAAGTAGTGATTTGAAAATTTTTAAGTTAATCTACATACTTCTTGGAAGTCAATCTTTGAATTTCTTTAACATGTTTCTGTATAACTTATCGTAAAATTCTATGAGTATTATAAAATATGTAGATAGTACGAGATAATTTTTCGTTTTTCAAAATCAAATCAACACTCAAAAATGTTCTTTATTGAAACATTGATTTTCTTAAAAAGAAAAGAAAAAATCGATTTGAGTACAGTTGATGTTTCCCAAGTTACTTAAGAATCAATTCACTGACATTGTTGGTTGACCTATTTACATATTCATCAATTTTTTATTGAACAAACTAAATAAAGTTTACTTTTCTAAATTTGTGAATTTGTGTTAACATTTAATTGCTCCAGGTTCTATTATTATTATTATTTCTTATCCACTACAAGTTACAGAGAATTCAATATATCCGTGTCGCTATCGTTTAAGTATTATTTTTTACTATTTTGAAAACTCAGAAACGTTGACGAAGAATTCAAAACTCGTGTTTCTGTTTTAAATTAATTCCTATAATTCTTATCTTACTAAATTCTGCTACTAATCCCTATCTTTGAGAAAAGAAATCAACGTTTTGAAAATTTCAGGTCTTCCCCTCATCCGGATCATGTATCTACCCACCACCACCATGCTCTCTTCCAGCACCATGCGCACCCGGTGGATACGTTAGTGGACCCGCCCATGGACCTGTATACCTTCCAGGACCCTCACCTGTATACGTCGGATCTGCTGGAGCTTCAGCTGCCGGATCCGTATATTACCCAGGACCTGCCCCATCCCCTGACTGTTCCGTGCCCCCAGTATACCTTCCACCACCCAAATTCCCCAATCTCCCAACCATCCACGCTCCAAACCCATTGACCATCCCTCTCCAAGTGCCTTCCGTAATCCCCGTAGGAAAGGTCTGCGTATGCAAGGCCATCCAGATCCAACCATCTGTCATCCCAGTACAAAAACCAGTAAGTCCAAAACCTCTTTACTTAGTAAATACTTAAATTCTTATACAACGAATGAAAGTCTTACTAAAATAAAGTCAGTGACAAAATAGCTTCATCAAATCAAGGCGACTATAAGTGACAAAGTATTTTAATTTGATAAAGACTAGTTAGTTACTATTTCAGTCAGACTTTCATTTTTAAGACTCTATGATTCCTATTACATTTTCACTTTTCTTTTATAGTGCATCTGCAAACCAGCTTGTGTGCCAGTATGTTGAAAATGTGAAGGTTAAATCTGCTAAATTAGTTACTATCATTCATAATAAATTGCATATATAAAAAACCAGATTTTTATTAACAGATTCTTCCCATATACCTGTTCCTATTTCCTAAAGACATTTCGCTTTCAAAAAAAAATAAAACTTTCCAATTTTGATTTCACTAGATTATATTCTCTGGAAATTTCCGGGCTACGAAAATAAAATGGCAGTATTTAAAAGGTTGTTCAGTGATATTACTACTCATGCTGTCAGTGTCTTCAGAAGGAAATCAAATGTCGTGATGTGGTGTAATACTTTTATACCAATATTCACTATGAATATTCATACCTTTTCTGTGGCTATATTATCCACTTCTCCAGAATAAAACAGTTTCGAATCACTTTCCAACAGTAACCAAGAATTCAGTCTTAGAAGGACTTGATTACATCTTTTGAATACAACAATTGCATCCAGACAAGGTTGGTGTAGTTATAATTATAATAACACAGGAAACAAGATCGCACAGAAATAAGTGTAAGAGCTTAAGTACAAGCACAACTACTGATGCAACTAGAATAGAAGATATCTGAAGAAAAGAAGCATAACCAACCAAGGCTAGGACCGTAACGGACCTGTTAAAATCGTTTAAGTGAATGACTTGATTGCTTATTACGAATATACCATCAATCTATAGGTCTATTGTACTCTTCTGGGGTGTTAAGTTCTCCATCTAATTGGGCTCCATAGCTTCAGCAATGACTCACCTGACGTAGTATTCACTTTCAATTTCTCTTTTCTCAAAAATATACAGGTTGAGAACTTTTCTTTTTCGTGGTAATCTTTAAGCTGTTTTCTGTGGCCAATACTCAGAAGTTTTCTAAATGATTTAAGTAGATTTTGCATGAATGTCGGAGTAAATAAAAATTCGTTGTTTTTTTCTCCAATTCGTTGCATAGTGACCAACGAACACCACTTCTGGCCAGCAGACTTCTATTCTTTACTTACTCTAAATAATATCTCCTGGTTTTAGGTATGAGTTTCATCCAACGCTGATGGAAATTTCTTATGTTTTAATTTTCTCCCATTCGAGTGTGCATCAAAAATGTCAAAATATGTCATATCTCAACTGTCATCGCTATTCATTGCCAACTAGCACAAAGCATGTTGTACCTACTGGTGGATACTGGTGAAGAGCGACCTATTAATCTGTAAGTACTATGAAAAATTACTGGTCATTAAACCTTAGACACACTTATTCTAATATCTCGACTCACAGTCATACAATGCGCTTCAAATTTCAGGAACAGGTCAAATTTAATGTATTCTGATGATTTTTTGATGTCTCGTTCACTGACAAATTTTTTTGGGGGTAGTTGACATTAACCCTTATACACACTTATTCTAATATCTCGACTCACAGTCATACGATTCGCTTCAAATTTCAGGAAGAGGTCAAATTTAATGTATTCTATTGATTTTTTGATGTCTCGTTCGCTGACAAATATTTTTGGGGGTAGTTGACATTAACCCATAGAAATACTTATTCTAATATCTCGACTTACAGTCATACGATTTGCTTCAAATTTCAGAAGGAGATCAAATTTAATGTATTCTAATGATTTTTTGATGTCTCGTTCGCTCACAAATTTTTTTGGGGGAAGTTTGCAAACGAGACATCAAAAAATCATTAGAATACATTAAATTTGATCTCCCCCTAAAATTTGAAGCGAATCGTATGACTGTGAGTCGAGATATTAGAATAAGTGTGTCTAAGGGTTAATGTCAGCTACCCCCAAAAAAATTTGTCAGCTAACGAGACATCAAAAAATCATTAGAATGCATTAAATTTGATCTCATCCTGAAATTTGAAGCGAATCGTATGACTGTGAGTCGAGATATTAGAATAAGTGTATCTAAGGGTTAACGTCAGCTACCCCCAAAAAAATTTGTCAGCGAACGAGACATCAAAAAATCATAGGAATACTTTACATTTGACCTCTTCCTGAAATTTGAAGAGAATCGTATGACTGTGAGTCGAGATATTAGAATAAGTGTGTCTAAGGGTTAACGTCAGCTACCCCCAAAAAAAGTTGTCAGCGAACGGGACATCAAAAAATCAATAGAATACATTAAATTTGACCTCTTCCTGAAATTTGAAGCGAATCGTATGACTGTGAGCCGAGATATTAGAATAAGTGTTTCTAAGGGTTAACGTCAACTACCCCCAAAAAAATTTGTCAGCGAACGAGACATCAAAAAATCAATAGAATACATTAAACTTGACCTCTTCCTGAAATTTGAAGCGAATCGTATGAGGGTGTGTTGAGATATTAGAATAAGTGTGTCTAAGGGTTAATGTCAGCTACCCCAAAAAAAAATTTTTCAGCGAACGAGACTTCAAAAAATCATTAGAACACATTACATTTGATCTCCTCCTGAAATTTGAAGCGAATCGTATGACTGTGAGTCGAGATATTAGAATAAGTGTGTCTAAGGGTTAATGTCAACTACCCCNTACGTATTGTAATTTCTCGATTCCGCAGGCCAATTTTCATATGTATATTCTGTATTTTCATATCAGATAAGATTCTGTACTTGCCGCGTTTTGGAAATATGGGGGACAGTTTACCCGATAATAAACCCAAAATAACAAAACGGAATAAATTTAGAAGCCCAGTGAATGGTTATTCTAAACGCATTTCCGCATTGTAATGCAAATAAAAATCTTTATTTGAATAATTTCCCTGAATATTCATAAGATTATTAAATTCCGTGGTCCGGTTTTGCATTATCGCAATATAATGGACCTATAGGTAATCTGCGTCTGGGCTCGCTTCAAGGAAAATCGATGAAAATTTATTCCGGTATTATTAAATTACTTTAATTATCTGTCTGATTGGGCTGACGAGTCGTCCAGGAGGCGCATACTTTATGAAAAGCAGACAATAAAAATTCATCAATCAGTAAACTTAATCACGTTTTCAAAAAGGTATTGCAATAATTATAATTAAGTTTAACAGTTACTTACGCCTTTTAATACTGTTCTTTTTTTAATAATTTCTCTTTTTATAATTAATTAATTTATAAATGAAACATTGTTAGAAACTGTCTCGTAAATGACCTTATTTCAGAGTTAAAGGGGAGTTAGAGTTAAATTGTAGGGGGAAAAAAATGAATTTTTGCTTACATAATATCGGTAGATATACTTTCTTGACATTTGATACACTATATTAGTTCTTAGTAAAACTCATTTTTGATCTATCAAATAATTTTTATATCGCCATGAGTGTAAAGGTATGTAAGAGTGTATTTATTGAGAAAAAATTACTTTGTTAATTTTTTCAAGTTTTAGAGACATATCTTTAAAAAGAAGTGGCTACAAAACTGATAATTTTTACTATTTTAAAATCTTGATAAAAACATTTATTTTAGAACAAATTTATAAAATTAAATAACGGTTACGAATAAATCGTGAAATTAAAGTTTCTAAACTTAATGAGGAATAAATTATGAACTTGATTGATTATAGATTAAAATTTTATGAGTATTGGTTTTTCTCTTTCACTATCATTTCTTAAAATTAATCAAATTTTCTTGTATAAATCCTCACAAATTTTATTCTTTTATGGTTTTCACTTATTTCCAAATACGAATGTATTACTTACTGAAATTATCTACTAATGTGCCAACTTCGTATTTTTTTGTATAGAAATTATGCTTATTCAACGATAAATTTGAAATTTTCTGTTGTTGAAAGTTTACTTAAATTAATTTGCTGTACTCAGTGGTTCTGGCATAATTAAAATCAGTGCTCCGTGATCTAAAATAAAGCCTGTGTGTTGGAATTCGCTCCTGGGCAAGGGTCTCTACATATTTTTTTTGTACAAATTAAATAGCTTTTTATATTTCGGCAACATGTCAAACCTTAGATTTTAGAAATAATTTGATTTATTATCTCATACCAGTTAAAAACAGGCTGCAACGGAGAGAAATGTATAAATATTAACATGTTACTTTCCTGTTGATAGATTAATTATGGTTTGAAGTTATTAGTTTTCTTTTCAATTAACTTGGAAATTTGTCCGGCAAAATTTTCCGGATATCGGCCAGTGATTTAGTTAAAACAAAACGATCTGTAGTTTCTTTTTTGCTGTTTAGTAAACTAGTCATTACTTTTTGCATAAACAAATAATTTCTTTATAATAGACAAAAATAGCAAAAATTCACGAAAAAGTGCTAGGAAAAATACAAAAGATAATTTTTTCTTTATTCAAATGTTCATTTATATGGTTAAGACCCCGAAGAATGTGAATTCGCGGTCAGAATTGATGGTACTTTTTCTAACCTCAAAAAACAGGTCAATTAAGTCAGATATCACGAATTTTCAAAAAATAACAGATTCGGGCCAAATTTGGTATACGGTTTTTTCAGGGTCGCTGATTATGTATTCGAGGTCAGAACTGCGAAATTCATTTTGTAATATTTTTGTTTACTTTATAACCAATCATGTTTTAACCTTATTTTTCGGCTATACCTTGTTCTTTTTTCTGTAAAAAATCTATTCACGGGTTTTCTGCCTAATCTCAGGTAATAAAGTACATAGGTAATTGTTTATATTTTTAAAAACGAATTTTGTAAATCTGATCTCGGATTCGTGATCAGCGACCCCGAAAACCCCCGTATACCAAATTTGGCGCGAATGTGTTATTTTTTGAAAATTTGGTTGGCCGTCATCTTGAATTTTGCAAAATTGACCTCGAATTCGTGATCAGCGACCCCAAAAATCCCTTTATACCA